TACTATCATATTTGAAAACAGAACAAGGCGAGAAAATTTAAGAGTAGAACTTAACTTCAAGTCTAGAAGCATTTAATATTTAACTCTCTGTATTACAATATTAAACTATTAAAAGTACACATCCTCATTAACCTGATTAAAGTAATTATAATTTTAAACGTAGGTACTCGTAAATAATTCAATATTAATTTCACGATAAAATTGAAAAAAAAGTCATGAAGGTATATTCAAAAGTTGTCAAAACAACTGATATTAATGTTTTGAATTTATTCATTCTGAATTCGATTGAACCGATGCCAAATAGGGCGAAATAAGGAATAGCGCAATCTCGGTCTTTGGACTCAAAATCTGCAAGAAACAGAGATAAACGTTGCCGATGGTAATCAGCAAATGTTCAGCCAAAATCCAAATTTCAGTACCATATCAAAATATGGAAAAATAATCCACTATTCACGGTTGGTCTGCCAATGCGGAGTTCGTCGACCTACAGATATTTTTTAACGACGTTACGCTACCTAGGTCTATTTTTGGTCACGTGGCAGATAACTTATGCATCTCAGGATCAAGTGCGACCATGTGGCTTCTTCGATAAGTATCTACTTAACAACATCTTTCTATGACAACCAACAAATTTCTGTAGGTAAATCTCATGATTGGGATACAAGAATTCTATAAAAAAACAATTTAATTTTGAATACATACAAGAGTTCAGGCAATTCAAAGGTATGTAACATTTTTAACATGATGGACAATTCCAGGATGTATACATAATTTACATATAATAGAATGCGAAATCTTAGAGTTAGTAAAACTTGTAGTTTGGTCTGTTTGTCAATGACGTAAAAGCTGGTGAAGAAATAGAAACTAACTATTTAGTTTTGAAGCGATTTGATGCCGAAATTTTCGGAACCCTTATTATTTATTTAATATTTCTACATTCATTAAATGTAGAAAGGAGTAGGGAGGGGCAAAGATTACGAAGCGAGGAGAAAACAAAAATTTTCGTGCAGAGAACATAACCACGCAGAAGTTAAGAGCAATTCATTCCATTGCTTGATAACACTTTCTCCAAGATGAAATGTATTTAATGGTATCGACAAGTGAACAGTATGAAAGTCTTTTCTGGGAGGTAAATAAAATACAAACTAACAAATACTGAGTACTATATGTATCAGATTGTACGATGTATTATATCGAGCATGATACATAATAGATTGACAGGACAATATGCCTACTACAACAAACAAAGCTCCTTACACATAACAAACGTCATTTAAACCAAAACAGACCATATTTAACCAACTCCTGACCATTTTTATAGGGTTCCTGTCTCAATATACACGAACGCGCGTCATTACGCCATATTTGCATGTAGGTACCATGGTTATTGAGTACGCCTTCCTCATTTAATGCATGCAACATTCCTAAGTACAAGGTACGCATTGTTTTAATTCTGTCGATAAGTAATGATATAGCTCTTCGTTTTATTAAGAATATAGATTAAGGGCAGAATGTATTAATAATTTATATTTTACTATACTTATGTTTATTGCATTTAGTTTACAATACTTAAGACAAATAAATTCACAGGGATTTCCTAGTCGGTTTGAGTCCTAATTACCAATTGCTCTAGTAATGAAATACTTATCCTCCTCGGAAAAAAACAACAGCAAGGCCATGATGTAACATAATAAATAGCAATAATATTACTAATAGTGTGTTTTCCTATTGGTCAGGTGTGGCACTACAAAAATCAAAATAATAGTACTAACAAGTGTTAACACACTGATGGCCACAAATATACACACCAGGGGCCTGAATTTGTGTGCAAAGCGACAGTGTTTTGACACAAATTCACAAGTTTGCAATGTATCATGTTCAGAGGAACAGGATACACATACACTGCAAACTTGCCATAATGATTTATATATTGTTTTCAGCAAGCGATAGTGACTAATGAGGAAGCATTGTGTACAATAACTCATAAAGGTTTTATATAAATTAGCTGAAATGGGATGAGAATAATTAAGGATGTCAGAAAACGAATTACATCATCAAAATCAATAGTTACATGAAACAATGCATTATAAAATGACCGCAGGCAATAGCCGATGTTATTATATAACTGTCACCATATGTTACAATCATACATACAAGTTCAACTGAAGGATAAAGACCATCAATATTACTACGCACTAAATAGATGTCTAAAGGTATAGGGAAAAAAACAAAATAAATTGTATATATAACTGTACTATAAGGGGAGTATAATAATACTATACACCACAGTATTTCATTCGACCACATCAAATGATGATTAAAATTTGTTCTGTGTCTGGGTGTACTTATTTATCTAAAGTATGTATGTATTGCATAAACTTGACACAAACCCTATACCAATCTGTCTGGCCAGCGTGGTATAGTAGGCCAAAACCTACTTTCTAAGGAGAAGTCTATGTCCAGCAGTGGACTACAAAAGGCTGTTAATGATGTATTTGGAAATATTTAAGTATGTCTATTAGCAGTCTGATTACCATAGCACAGGCTCTGCTTAATTTTGGATCAGATTTTGTATGCCAGATGTGTGAAATTGTTTATAAGTATTAATTAAGTATATTTTGTGGCAACTAGTTTCTTATACAGACTCCTACAGTGATAGCTCTGTAGCTTTATTTATGATACTTGTAAATGTAGAATTTTGGAAGATAATATGTACACAAAATAAATAAGTTATTCTGTATATGTTTTCGATTTCTAAATATAAAAGTACAGTAGTGAAAATTCAATAAGTTGAACAAGTATCATGAAACAATATTGTTTGGAGACCTGTCGGGATTTTTATTCCATATTGAAATGTAACATAAAATATGAAATGAATTTCATTTAGTAATAATGACAAAAATAGATAGAAAGATAAGAAAATAAGGAAGTTGTTAATTTTAATGTTTTTCTTTTTATATATGTTACCTTAGTCTGTCATAAATGACCAATTTACAATTTTTTTTAGGAGGGTATTATTCCCCATTGTTTCCATTCATTTTGAAGAAAAACACCCCTAAGGATGAAAATTAAGAAATGAAGAATACAGTTTATGTGTTTATATTTAGGTTGGTAATACTTTTTTATACATTAATTATACTAGCACACTAAGGTGGTACAGATATACTTATGAACAAAAAAAAAAAAGAATGCTAAATAAATTATTTGGCAGGTACCATGGTCCTTAGTTCATCATAGTGCTGCTTCATATTTAATATGTGGTGGAACTATAAGATATAGGTAGAAAGTAGACTATTGTTTATTATTCTATATTCAATAGAAGAAGGAGCTTTTGAGCAAGTTTTTGACTTCACTATTGGCGTACTGGTTTAAGTGGTTACCTCACCGCTTCCTACTGTGCTGAGTGTTGTGGTGAACCAACAACACTCTTCCCAACATTGGACAACACTCAGTGTGATCCACAAATTGTTGCTCTAAGTCTGGGTGTTGTTTGAGTCCATTTCATATATCTTTGTCAAGTTCACACAGGCTATATTCCCAATGCGGGAAATTTCTTTTTACAAAATAAAAGTGTGTGTGTGTATGTAGATAAAGTACAATATAATATGTATGGATTATCACAAGAGAAAAGATCTTGGAACATATTTTTAGTACCTGTTAGAAAATTTGATAGATGGTAAAAATTTAAAATTAAGATAAGGTGTTTTTTTCCTAAATTCATTAATTTTATGCAAATGACCACTTGAGTGACTCAAGTTGAGAGCCATAGAGCCAAGTTGTAGCCATGATGTTTCATATCTAGTGCATTTATGCTTTTCAATTTAGTATATTAAATCAAGTTTAACCTTCTTCAGTAGCTACTTTGCTTATGCAAGCTGCAGAAGTGCCTTTGGCTAATAGCCAGGCACTTCTGCAGTTTGAATATACTAGTAATATACTAAATATTGATCTCCTAATTGTCAGTGGTATGTTTATCAATTTTAGAATCATCCAGAATATTTTAGGCCAAGTGCATGAATTTCACGCATGATTTGGCAATTTAAATTATTTGTGAGCTAAGTTCTGTATTCATTGTTCTGGGCTCTATATCCAACTAGAATAGTTATTATTGTACCTTGCAGATAATAATGTATAATTTAAACATGGTTTGTAAGCCAAGAGAAATTGATTAACTAGCTTAAAACACTCGGACCAATGAAGAATTGTTCAACACATTACAACAGATCTTTAACCAAAACTAAAGACAGCAAATTCTAATTTTTGAAATGATAATCCAGTAAATATACATAAAACCAGTAGCAGAACTGACCTAATGAGTCATATACATATGTTGATAAAAAAAAACGCTGTATTCGCCTTATCATTCAAAAGCGATAAAGTTCATGAAAAAACAAAGAACCTCTGAGGATCCTGCTAAATATTTTATTTATAGAAACTTCTAGCGACATTCCGGACAAGGAAATATGAACATAAAACTGTAGCCCATTGAATCCATAACGGCGCAAAACGTGCTGTGCAAGAAAAAAAATATAGAAATGAACACCGGCAATTACGTCTTATTTTAGACACTAACTGTAAAAATAATGAATCTAACGTACATGAAGTGGCGGTCACTCCATTCATGCGGCAAACAAAATATAACGGTTCCTTCAATTCTTTTGTTCTATTACTTCGCGGTAACGTGATAATAATCCGGGGAGAAGTTAATTTTGACGCCTTTTATATGCAAATATGTGGTGTAATCTACATGCCTATGTCCTGCGAACTCGATACCTTGTCCTGCACCATCAAGGCACATTGACCTTTACAAAAATCTTAAAAAATAACGGCTCGCGTCAGACTAGACTACGGCCGGTGTCATACAAATGTATAAAATAATCTCACTCACCCGACATTAACGCTGTTATTGATGCACTAACCGGTTTTCAATACAAATAGTGAATTTTAAAGTTTACTAAGTTACTTTACACTTATTTTAATCGAAGAAAACGATTACTCACCAACTGGTCGCTTCCCTTCTTTCTGACGGAACGGAACCGAAACCGTATGCAGGAAAGAGATAGGGATTCGAAAAAAAGGTATTGCTAGCTTCAAATTTAGAAAGATACTAATTATTTGAATGTGGTATCAATTTGAAACTGATTAAGCTCGTAATACGTACGAAAAAGCTTACGACGCTATTATGATAGTAGTGATAACTTAAATTAGTCGAACTTTTTAATATTGAAATCGTTTAATTTGAGAAAAGCTTAGGTTATTACTTAAATTTATTGTAAAGTACGAAATACGGGCTAGTGCTGTGGGTTAGAGTGGGAGGGGAGGAGCCTGCCTACCGCTGTCGTATGCTCGAGAGAAAGGAAAACTCTCCCATAAAATAATTCAATATGGCTGAACATTTTTGAAAGCTAAGGTACGCATAAGTCGTGACTGATAATTTTCCAATTTATCAGTCTAGTACCGTATTACAGATATTTTTCAAGTCCAGGATATAATTACAATCTAAAAAGTTACATAATATCCTTAAAATCGTCTTGTAAATAACCCTAAGTTCACAACTTATAATCGTGCGTGACAATAAGCAAGTAAATTTTTGGGTGCAACTGTGAATGATATCCGAGCTTACCTATTTCTGATTGTAACAGGAAGAAAAAAGAGTCCATTAAGGACACTGTTCAAAAGATTGATAGTTGAGGACAATCCAAGAATTTTAATATACGTATGTAAGATAGAAAAGATTTTTTTTTTCAAAAGACTAATAAATTTTGATCTCCTTAATTGTGTTTTTCCTTAGTTTTTAAAATGGTTTGAAACTACTCCAAACTATATTTTGACGTGACATTCAAACTCAAACTTTCTTTATTTCATAAAATTTTCAAAATTGTTTGAAATCGTCTTCCATGTAGACTCTAAAGTCATAGATCAACACACACAAAAGCAACAATCTCTGTTTTGTCAAATAGTAACCAAATAAATTTAACAAAATCAAACCCATACAAAATCTATGCCTGTGCCGATCTACAACCGCCCGTTTCCAAGGGGTTGAGCCTTATGAGAAGAAAGGGCAAACAAACTCATGGCCACTCTTTTGCAATTCACAAGTAGATACAATGGCACTATTAAATATATCACAACATTGTTTTGATGTGTGCTAGTATGTCCGTTATTAAGGACTTAAAGGTGAAAAAACAAGGAAGAGAAAACAAGATTAAGAAGAACAAACGAATACAAGAGAAAATAAAGTGAAACATAAAAAATAGAAAAAATAATAAAAAACATACTAGCCACACCACATTTTTACTTAAGAAAGAAATAGCCTGCGCTAATTAATCCCAAGCATTCTTGTCCTCCATGTAATCCACAATCGAGTAGTAGGCCCTCTGGCACAAGCCACGTTTTATTGCGGATTTAAATTTGTTAATACTCAACTCCTGAATATTATTTGGGATTTTATTATAAAATCGGACACATTGACCTCGAAAAGACTTGTTTATCTTTTGGAGCCTAGAGGCGGGTACAACAAATTTATTTTTATTTCTGGTATTTATGGCATGTACATCACTTTTTTTCAAAAAGCTATCTTTATTTTTGTGAACATATATTACATTTTCATAAATATATTGACTTGCCACTGTCATTATATTTATTTCTTTAAATTTCTGCCTCAATGAACAACGACTGCCTAAATTATAAAGTGCTCGAATAGCTCTCTCATTATTTTATAATATTTCTACTTAGAAAGAAAAAATCACACCTGGCAACTTCTCATGGATTTTCTGACAAAATCTGGATTAAACCGCTTAATTCGTCCAAAAATCAAAATCATTGTAACGTAAAATAAAAGTACATTTAAAAAATCTAGTACATCGTTTTGTTTTTATTCCTTAACAAAATGTTGTAGTAGAAAATATACCACTAGAAAAGCAGAACTATTAATTAATTTTTGGACAAATGGAAACAGTGCTGCTATAATAAAATTTTAGTAAATTCTATTGTCAATTCAATCGATTGAAGATCTGACAAAATTAAATGGTGTAAAAAACAAACGCTAGAATAATAATCCTGGTTCGTTCAGTGGTAAGTTAACTTCAAAAATAAAGAATTTATTACACTTTACTTCTTTGCTTGTTTTTGAATTTGTATATCTTATAGATATATTAAACGAAATTAGAATACAAATAAAATTTTGCATAAAACCAGCAAGTAAAATAAGTGGCTCACTACGAGTATTGCTGCTCTATTGCTCTAGGACAGCACAACTTTATTACTAGTAGACTGAATATAACGACACATGTAAATCTCATACTGAATTTAATATTAAGTAATTTTTAAATGCTTGTTAATCAAAAAATGTACACAATATATGTTTTACATGAACTTGTTAAATCGATTTTTCATCATTCCTGTCCAGCTACTGCACTAGAGCATTCAATACCATTTCAAAATTTATTAAGTGGACAACCCTAAAAGAAACGTCTAGTTCCGTTTTGTTTAGAAATATTTTATGAAAGATAAATTGTTTTAAAATGGAAACAGCAACAGAAGATAGTCAAAAAGAAAGTGCAGATACTGCAAATGTAAGCAATACTGCTAATGTAAGTATAATCTAGTTTTAATTTACATGTGGTTTATAAATAGAATGCTATCGGGTATCGGGAAACAATTTACCCACTTTATTTAATCAAATTCTCTGCATTTACCGTTATTAATTTTATTTTAAATTTGCAATAAGTTGCGAAGTTTAATCTGATTAATTAGAAGTCGTAAAAGAATATAATAATATCGAAAAAAGGTGATATTGTTAACCTAAAAGTAAGTTGGCCCCCAGCCAATTTCCGTAATGTTTTTGGTATTTTAGTTCAGAAGCACGATTCACATGCTTCTGCTTTTATGGTTGACGACAATGCAAATTGTTATCTAACGTGTTTTTTATAATGTCTTTTAAAATTCTTATTGGTTTCCAACAGCAACAAGTATTGCCTGTTTACCATAAATGTAAAGTCACCAGCTTTTACCACTCACGAGTCAAATTTCGTAATAACAGAATTCTAAATATAAATAAAGGTTTTGTTACATTATCTGTAGGGAATGGGTTTATTTAGGTCAAAATTTGTGTGGATTTGAAATGTTATAAATAGAACAGTATTGTCACCTGTATTTTAAAGTATGAGGGGAAACCTATGTGGAGGTATATGTAGGGTTAGGTTGTAACTAATGAAATTTGAAGACATGATGCTATTATGTGTAGGTTGGATTCAGGAAAATGCTAATACAAAGTTAAAATTATACATATCAATAATGCTTATTAATTAAATGAATGAATGAATGATATTTATTACTGATTTGTTAGTTTACAAGTACTATAGAAATCCAGCAGTGGACTATTAAAGGTTCTTGATGATGTGAAATTAATCAGTCAGCCTATGTCTATTCCTATAGACAACGTTTATAGTTTTTTTTTAACATTTAGTACAGCTATACTATCTGGGCTTTGTAAGTGCTATAACAGGCCTATTCAATAAAAAAAAATTTGACTTCAAGTTTGTCTTTGGTTAAACCAATAGGAATAAAAATTATTTAGTAAAACTAAATAAAATTACAAGACAAAAAAAAGATATGTATATAAATTATATTATATCAATTACATATCTTTTTTTATCTTGTTTCAAACAATGTAAACAAGAATAAAGTTCACTATATTGTTAAGTTCTAATTGGAAGGCCGTTCTTATTGGGAATGTACTGGTGTACCTAAAATACATTTAAAGTCTCTCAACGAAGACCTGTGGCAATTACCTCCAATACTGTATTGTTTAAATTTTGATGCCAAACTGCTATCAAATGCATGTTTAAGAATTACAAGTAGAGGTATACCTCTACTTGTAATTCTTACTCTAAATAACAAAACATAATAATAATAATAACATATCTCACACATCTCACACACATCCGTCTGATCCCAAACTAGTCAGAGCCTGTGCTATGGTAACCAGACTGCTGATAAACATACTTATATATTTTTAAATAGAAACATATTATAGATAAATTATACCCAGAGACAGAACAAATGACCGTGCTCATCACACAATATTTGTCCTGGGTGGGAATCAAACCCACTACCTCCGGTTTAGCAGTCAGGGTCACTAACCACTAGACCAACAGGCCTGTCAATAATATATTTTTTAAGTAATGACTAATTAAAATTACTAATTAAAAACTTATTTATTATCTGTTGTCTGTAGTGCTGAAAGTATTAAATCTATTTGAATATATATTAATTTTCCAACGTCTACTCTCTCAACATAAATTCTATGTTCTAAATTTTACAGAATGCTACAATACCAGTCCCATCTGAACCAAAAAAGAACAGAAAAGATGACCGCACAAAGAGAGATGATAAAAATCTTGAACAATTTATGAAAACGCTTAACCCTATACCAACAGTTGACGAAAAGTTGTCTCTAGTTTGTAAAAAATATGTACAGTCTGCAGATGAAATTAAGAAGATGACGTTCTATATTAAGCAGTCAGATAAGCGTCATGCATTGGTCATGAAAGAAAAGGAACAGTTACAATTGGAGTTTAATAAAACTGTTCTAGTTAAGTCTAAGTTAGAGAATCTTTGTAGAGAATTGCAGAAACAAAATAAAGCTATCAAGGTAAGCAGTACTAGCCATCACTATAATGATTAAAAGATTTTTTTATTTTTTAACTCAAATCATCTCAGAGACAGTCATTTGAGGGCGTAGTGTAAGTATTTCACTTTATCACGGTGACCGCATTTGGCATTGTGATTGGTAAAGACATCCGTTTCTTGTCCCTTAATCACGACAGAAATCTTAGCTCAACGAATAATAAGCAAAGAACACACAAGGGGTCACTTCTTTTGTGGCCCCTTGTGTGTTCTTTGTTAAAGTAGTACTGCTCTGGAATGCACTCCCACTTGAAATCAGGATGTCCATAAACCGTTTCACATTTAATAATGTACGTTTTGCTAAGTTTTATATAAAAAATATATATTTATAATCGGTGATTACAATTGTTACCTCAGTTAGGTGCACCTACAAGATTTCTACACCACCTAAAGAGTGGCTGGTAGAGAATGCCCAGGGCATTAAGTCCGCCGATGTACATAAGTTCATGAAGTTGTAAAATAAATAAATAAAGAGTGTAGTTTCGGGGTCATGGTGACAATTGAGACAATGTAAAATAAAGTTACACTAGACCCTAGACATAGAAATTATTGCTACTATTAAATCATATTCATATGAATATCTTTTTTTTTTTTTTTTTTTTAAAAAGACAACGCCCGCATTAGGAATACATATTCCTGTGTCGCGGGGGACTTTACAAACATACATGAAACGGACACAAAGAACACCCAGACTCAGAACAACAATTTGTGGATCACACAAAGTGTTGTCCCATGTGGGGTTTGAACCCACAACACTCGGCGTAGTAGGAAGCGGCGTGGCGACCACTTAAACCACTGTATATACACCACAATACAGGAATGTATTCCTAAAGCGGGAGTTGTCTTTTATAAAAAAGAAAAAAAAAAAAACACCCAGACACAGAACAACTGACCATGATCATCTGACAATATTTTTCACATGTATTAAATACATACTGTAAACATAATTATATATTATATTAAGGACATGATAGTTTAAGTTTCTAGGTAAAACTGTTTTTATTACTTGTTGTATGTTGTATATAATATACTAGCTGTACCTTACCACGCTTTGCTGTGGCACATTGTAGTTAAGAAAAATAGATTAATACCATTACTGAATCATGTTGTACATTGTATCAAAATTTGAGTTCAATCGGTGCAGGCCCTTTTATGTTTTTTGTGGTGGCAAACCATCTTAACAGCTTGTTATATATAGATTGTGATGAACAGCTAAGTTCTTCATATATGCATAATAGACAATACTTTAGTTGTACACCAGTTTTTTTTGACATTATAAAGTGATTAAATGTACAAAGAAAATAATGTGCAAAGGGCGCCCTTATCACTTAGGACAATTTCATCCAGGCAACCTTTGTAGGATAGCATAATCAAACGGTAATTTTAAATAGATAGAGATAAGAATAAGTGACCAAATGGTAAGTGTTTACCGTTGCATTAACGATTGTCTCGTTAATTTTCCAGTAAAAGCAAGATTATTTGGAAGGTGTTTAGATTTAAATGTTAATATTTTAATAATATTTTGTAATAACCATTATTATTGTATTCACTTGCAGGAAGAGTCATTGCTAAAAATCCGTGAAGAGGAAGAACGCCGTAAAGAGACTCAGGCCAAGTTCCAGAATACTCTGTCTGAGATCACAGCAATGCTGCAGCAGAACAACGAGAAGAATGCGAAACTGAGGGACGATAACATCAGTATGACTGAGAAGTTTAAGAGTGTCGTTACACAGTATCAGTTGAGGGAGCAGCAGGTAAGAGAATTTAACTACTCATAGAAAAACTGTATTTAATGGGTTACAGTTATTAACCGACTTCAAAAAAGGAGGAGGTTCTTAATTCGACTGTTTTTTTTTTTTTATGTTTGTTACCTCATAACTTTCGACTGGGTGAACCGATTTTGATGATTCTTTTTTTTATTGGAAAGCTGGTGCTTCCCGTGTGGTCCCATTTCAATTTGGTCTAGTTCTGACCATGGAATCCATGAGAAAACCATTGAAGTCGGTATTTTTTTGTTAAAATTTTATTTTAAAGAAATGAATGTGTTTCCGTGTGGTGAGGGATCAAGAATACGGAGTGTCACCACCTCTATTCATCCCGTGGGTGTCGTAAGAGCCAAATAAGGGAGCAAACTACGTAAGACGACAGCACTGCAAAGAGAAGGAAAACTTGAAACAAACCCTATACCAAACCGACTAGCCAGGCCAAAACCTCCTTTTTAAGTACAGCATGTCCAGCATTTGATAATAAGACTTCTTCCAAAAAACATAGTTTGAGCCAAGACACCTTTAAATTCAAAAAGGCTGTAATTTAGTCAGGGTAATCAGCCGCGTGGTCGGTTCGTTAATTAAATGATGGGCAGAAATTATAGTCAGGCCACTTTCACACTTTATAATAGAACTGTGGAAAAATATTACATTAAGGATTTTAAGTTTATGGAGACAGAGTTAGGCTAAGAGTTAGTGTTGCAAAGGACTCGACTCAGTGTGTTAAGGCTCGAAGTCCAAAGTCAAACTGAGCCTTAGTCATTTAACAGCGATTTAAGTCTTACAAAGGACTCTAGTCTTCAAGAAAAACTCAGATAAGACTTGAAGCTTATCATTCGAAAATACTCGAATAGGTGATGAGTTTAAATTATTTATAGATAGTTCAACAACTAGTGGCAGTCGTCGTCCGAGCACCGCGTCACTGCCACACGAATGAAAGTTGTATATTTACAAGCCCACGCACACATAGGGCCGCGCGCACAACTGAGTTGAACTATCTATACGTAACTATGCCTAGAAAAAAATCCAATAAAACAAAATTATTATAAATTAACTAAAAACTCACTTCGAAGACAATAAAGATGTGAAAATATGACGCCAGTATGGTTAATATTACCCTCTAAATTGTTAATAGTTTAGATATTTGAGTAAACGTGATAACCAGTTAGTATATTGCATTTGTTCGTCCGCGTAGTGTTGTTAAATTGCCGGCATTTTCAAAAGCCGGCAATTTTATAACTAAAAAAAAACCATCTCGGCAATAAAACTATACTAGCTACAATGTGTCTCGAATCATGGCTGAACTTTAATTAAAATTACCCATTTTTATGATACCTATGAATGATTAAAAATATCCTTAACCAAAACTGTAATGTTTTTGTTCTCAACATTTCTCGCGGTCGTTTAAATGTAACAATTGCTAGACGCATATATAAAGAGATATATAAAGAGAGAGATATATATATAAGTCGCCACGCCGCTCACTAGGCTGAGTTGCGGGTCTGATCCCTACAGAGACGACACTTTGTGTAATCCACAAATTGATGTTCTGAGTCTGGGTGTTCTTTGTGTCCGTTTCATGTATGTTTGGAAACTTCCTCGCTAAACAGGATACTATATTCCTAGGGCGGGAGATGTCTTTCTAAAAAGAAAAGGTATAGGGTTTGTGTCAAGTTTTTCTTCTATTTGCAGTGCTGTTGTCCTGCGTAGTTTTCTCCCTTAGTCGGCTTTCACGACACTCGCGGGATGAATAGGGGTGGCGACACTCCGTATCGTCACCACACGGATTACCAGCCCATGTGTGCTAAAACATAGCTTTTCTAAATAAATGTAATATGTTTTACTTTCAACTATTTTATTTTAGGTTGACAAAATGTCTAAACAAATGGCTTTAGAGAACCAGTTATCAGAAGCTAAGATGCAGAAGCAGAATCTCGAGCACCAGGCGGATAAAGAGCGCCTATTGGCTGAAATAGAACAGCTCAAGGTCACCGTGGCGACGTATAGAGCCAAAATGAAAGAGTTTAAAGGGGTTGAAACCAGTACGTATTGCATATGAAAAGTTTGAGCGATTCTGTTGTGTCAAAGTTTCAGTGTAGTCTGCAGTAGTAAGTTAAAACATTCTTATTTAGAGACTTGAGATGATATATATTAATGAATACGTAATAAAAATGGTAAGAGTGATAATTTACGCCATGACATTACCATTGACTGCACTGATGGTGGTGGAAGCGGTTACCTGCTGCTTCCCACTGAGCTGACTGTAGTGGGTTAGATCCTCACATGGGATAACACTTCGTGTGATCCACAAATTGTTGTTCTGAGTCTGAGTGTTGTGTATGTATGTTTGTAAAGTCCCCGAAAGTGCAACAGGATATATTCCTAGAGCCTTGCCTTGGGGTTGACTTTTTTAAAAGAAAAAAACCAAATTGGTAAGTATAAATATAAAAAAACTATATATTAATTTTACCTCTGTCCTCCAGGTCTTCGCAGTCAGCTGGAAGTGTACACAGACAAATATGAAGAATTTCAGAATGCATTAGTTAAAAGCAACCAGATGTTTGGAGGCTTCCAGGAGCAGATGGATAAGGTGAGGAAACTGTATTTTTAAGCTTCTAAAAATGTTTATATTTTGTTTTATTGTTAAACAGTTTTGAAAAATCCACCATACTTGTTTTGTACAATTTTAAACTGTCATTAGCCAAGGAATGTACCTTGCTGTTAGCATATACTCGTAGTTATAATGCTTATAGTTGGTAATGGTCCATATGAAGAAATTACCTAATCCAAAATGAGTCAAAATTTAAGAATAAATGTTAAGCTATGAAATATTAATAGTATCTGTATTTATAATAATTCAGAAAACCCCTCTTTTATTAAAATTATTACAAACTCCTTTTTTAACATTCAGACAGTTAATTGAATAGTTTCTGCAGAACAGGTTTCAGATTTATTGTCATGGGTCTTTGATGGTTTCAGTTATAACTTGAGTTGTAACACAATATTTTTATTTACAACAGATGTCAAAGAAGATCAAGAAGCTGGAGAAAGAGTCCCTCTCGTACAAGACCAGGTGGGAGACGTCCCAGTCAGCCCTGTTGGACATGTGCGGGGAGCGCCAGGCCAGCGAGGAGAAGGCCGCCGCCTCCAACCGGCAGCTGCAGCACATGCAGAGCTTGTGTCGAACCTTACAGGTCACTAATTAAATTCTTTTAAGGAATGTCTCAACTCAGCAATGTCTCATTCTTTATAGATTTATATATCGACATAGTGTCATTCCAATAAATTGACTGTTTTGTTGAATGTAACATAAATATTATAGGTAAGGTAGCTGCCAGAATTAATATAAAAAAACCCGTTCCCAAATTTTTGAGCCTTCTGAGAATAAATCAAACTAAACTCACAGCCTCTCTTTTAAAACAGCAGATAATTAATAATAGTTGGTGAAATAATATAATAAAACACTGATTTTAATAATACATTATAAATATTGAAAACTAGAAAATAAGGATAAAATGTAAGAGTGAATATGAAAATGGGTTTTTGCTTGAAATTGGATCAAAAAACTAAATGAAAGGTATTCCTAGTCTTTTTTTTGTTGACGGGTTGGAAAATCCTTTCGGATCTCCTGCTCTTCGGGGACTCAGGAGCTAGGAGTATGTGGTGATTCCACCAAAAACTACCCCGACATCCGGCCTCAGGGAGAAGACCTGGACCATGTTATTTCAGGTTCTATAGTCCTAGTCCTAATACCTACTTTCTGAGCTGACGCAGATGATCTAGAGGTGGAGCGACGTGTGTATTACTGTATACCCAATGTTTAATTATAAATGATGTGCTTTCCTATGGGTATATCATTATTACAACATTGGTAGATAAACTATGACAATTGCCCCTACCTTCCCTGTGAAGGATAGGATCTCCAGTTCATATACATTTATTTTATTATTATTATATATTTGTTATCATAATCTACACATATAATCGAATTGTAACAGGTCGATGTTTGTACATTATAGATATTAAAGAAAAAAACACTAAAGGTGGTCTATATTTCGATATAGAATATATATATAGGAATATATTGTTTTGAGTTCTGTTACTTCGGTAACAGAACTCAAAACAATATATTAATGAATAGTAAATCTAAAAAAGCCTTGGGAACTAATTATTTATGGGTATTACTTGTATTATTCATTTTTTGTTTCTTCAAGTGGCCGTAAACCTTCTAGTTTTTAGTTTAGTTAGTTACAAAAGTGTGTGTTTTTTATTATTATAATTTATTTAGTCATTAATAATGATTATTTTCATTGAGACCAAAAACGTAACAATTAAGTAAGTGATATATGTTTCTGTACACGTGGCAAAAGACACCTGTATTTTTATATATAAAAAAAGTTGTTATCAGGATAACGGGACAATCTATTTAAATTATTACATTTTCATCGGTCCTCGAAAAGTGTGCAAATTAAGTGATGTTTTGAAGTGGTTCAAAATCACTCCGTTATACATATATATAACTATCGAGCTAACAAAAGCTTGTTAAAAATTTACAGTATATTACATTGGTCTGTTCGGTAAGTTCGAAAAGTTTAATGGTGTTTTTTACACCAACAATATGTATAGTTTGTGTATGGCACAAGTGGGCTATCGCAGTGCGTTAGAGTGAGCGTGTGTGCGTGTTGCAGGCGGAGCGCAGCGCGCTGCTGGCCACGCTCAAGGACCACAACATCGAGCGCCCGCCGCTACCGCCCGCCCCCGCCCCCGCGCCCGCACCCGCCCCCGCGCCCGCCTCCGCCTCCGCGCCCGCTACCAACGCCAAGGTCTGTACCCTCATCGTTCATTCAACTTAACTTAACATACAAATAACAATTAAACATAAAAATAAAAAGAATGTAAGCAATATCGTCCACCGACTGGTCAATGCAAAATACCTGGTCTGGCTTACTCAATTGTTTATTTGCATTCCACGATGCGTACTTGGGTGATGGGTTTATGTTATGTTTAAACCTTTATGGACCCCGTCGGACACAGCAAAATATTTCACATCATCACATCGACATAGGCCTCTCTGTAGAGAGGAGGTTTTGGCCTACTATACCCGCCTGGCCAAACAGGTTGGCATAAGTTTTGTTTGAGTTTTCCTTCCTTTTGCAATACTGTTGTCAAGGACGGTAACACTGCGTATTTTTAATCCGTCACCACACGGACTATAATACGGTAATACAATACACAATAGAGCATTTTTAATCAGATGTATTTCAGACATTGATACAGAACCGCTCGAGAATAATTACAAAATAATATGACTTAATCTTTGTACTTTTGTCGTAGCGTAGGTCGCTATACTAAATCCGATCCTTCGATCGTAACCCAGAATTATTGAGATTTTTATAAGTAAATTTTAAAGTAATGATTGCCAAAAATCTGCTATTATATAAATTAACTATTAAAATATAAAATTTAACCACTGATACATAAAAATTCTAAATTAAAAAAGACTTGATTATTTTTAAATTAGAATAAAATAACAAAATCTCATAAATAAATAATAACGAATCAATAAATCCATTTTTTTATTAAAGAATAATCAGCATAACTCTTGGTTAGTAACAATTTGCATTCATTTACTTTTAGGTTGACGCGATGGCCGCCAACTGTGCTCAGCTACGCCAAAGTCTTGCACATCTACAAACACAACTGAATGTGCTCACAAACAAACAAAACGAAGAATCACCTAAACCAGAACCGAAACCAGAAAAACAGGAAAAGAAGAAATCAAAATCAAAGAAGAATAAGGGTGAAAAGAAAGCAGAAAATAATGCGCCGAAAGAAGAAAGCGATTTAACGGATGAAAACCAGACCAGTGCTAGTGAAAACTTGTCACAAAATACAGAAAAGGGCGATGAGACAACACTAGAAACCTTAATACAAGCCATAAATAATGCTAATATTAATCTTTGTGACTTAGAAGTTGTCAGTGATGAATTCGCCGAAACTGTCAAAACAAATCTTGAAATCAAAGAAATTACTGAAGAAGATAGCTCAGAAGTTAAAACGACCAGCAATGAAGTAAGTCCTAATGTTGAAAAAGTCATTTCAAATAAAGAAGTAAGTTTTAAAATTGACGAAGTTGTTCCAAATGAAGAAGAAAATTCTAAAGGTGACACAGTTATTCTAAAGGAAGACGTAAGTTCTAATGTTGATAAAGTCGTTTCAAATGAAGAAATACGTTCTAAAGTTGACAAAGAAATTCTTAGTGAAGAAACAAATCCAAAAGTTGAAGAAGTTGTTCTAAATGAAGAAGTAAGTTCAAAAGTTGAAGAAGTCGTTAAAAATGCTGAAGTAAGTCCTGAAATTGTTTTAAACGAAGTAAAGAACGCCTTAACAAATTTGAATTTGAATAGTCCGCCAAATATATCACCAGTTAAAGTTGAGGTTATCCAAAATGGAGACAGTAATCTCTCAGATCATGTAGAAGAGACCCAAAAGGAAGTAAATTTAGAGGCAAATGATGCCCAACAAAACGTGTCAATTGTAGAGTCTTCTAATGACGAAGTGTCACATATTAATGAAGTGAAACCGATATTAAACAATGCTTGAAGTGAATTATGTAAATAGTGTGGACCGATTTTTATGTTGTTTTAGACGAGTCCTAATTTTTGGAATTTCTTAATGTTTTCTTCATGCAAAGCCTTTGTTGATTTGTTGTTGGTGTTAAATATTGTCATCTATTCAATATCAATGTTGCTACTTTCTGTAATTATAAAAGTCTGAATCACACAATTAATTTTTTTTTTTGATTTTTCTGTTGTTTTACTAAAATAGTATTATAGGTGATTCTTCTTTTCTAAGGAAAACCTCCTTTCTAAGGAGAGGCCTATGTCCAGCAGTGGACTAGTATAGGCTGTTGATGTGTGATGTTCTTTTTCTACTCCTGGCTCATTGTTAGAATTTGTTTATTTTAACAAAAATACTAAATACCTAATGTGTTTCTATAGTAAAAATTAAATAATATGAACAATGTTGTGTTGGTGAAATATTCCTAGAAATTGGTTCATTACTTTTAAATCAAAACACGGATATAAATATATACATACCAATTAGAAAAAAAAAAACATTTTTGAGTCGGTTAGAAATCATATTCATCACATCATCAGCCTTTAGTAGTCCACAGCTGGACATAGGCCTCTCCTTAGAAAGGAAGTATTGGCCTACAATACCACGCTGGCCAGAACATATACACGGGTAATATCCAAGTCGTGTCTCACGTGTTTGATTTAAAATATTTTCAGGAAAATTACCTACAATGAAAAATGATAAATAAAATTAAATAAATAATACTTCTTACACTATATAATTTTTACAATAGTGTACGAAATGTATATTTCTAGTTTTTTAATTGTACAGACTATAAATGGCTGTTAACCTTTCAAAACTGTACTCAGTTTATACTAAACTTAATAAATGTCACTCTTGCCTTTTCCCAAACCCGTCTCTCATTAAGCAATGGGGGAAAATGACAGTCAACTGGAATCAGTTTCTTTTACTTTCAGAAAGATAGACTCGGCACATTTTTGTATTAAATACTGAGGTGTGACGTCATACCTAGCTATTGTCAAATTATATACTGTTAATGTAGATTTGGGGATATTTAAAAAATTAAATCATTACAATTAATTAATGAGATGTAACCTTTACCCTAATTTATTGGTATCACAGTATACTGGAGTCGAACACTTGTAATTGTATTGTATTAGTGATTACGAGGCCTAAATTAAAATTAGATTTGCAACAGTTAGTGTTACTCACAGTATTATTGTATCGTTTCGTACGTGACGTGTCCAATGACTATGTAAGGAAATTTGTATGAAATAAAGATGATGGTTGTAATTGTTGTTTATTCTTTAAAATTGGCAAATATCCGGTGGTGACGGATTAAGAATACGTCACTACCCCCATTCATCCCGTGGGTGTCGTAAGGGCCGACTAAGGGAGCAAACTACGCAGGACAACAGCACTCGAAAGCGAAGGAAAACTTGAAACAAACCCTGTACAAACCGCCAGCGTGGTAGGCCAAAATCTACTTTCTAAGGAGAGGCATATGTCCAGCAGTGGACTATTAAAGGCTGTTGATGATAATAATGATGATGTAAGTGAGTGTTTTGTGCCTATGATCTCTATACAAATAAATAAAATTGATGTGTCTGTTTGTAATGTCAAAATAATAGGTTTTTTCATTCTCACATGGTTATTTGCACGATACCTATGCCTAACAGCCAGTTTTTTTGTCTGTCTATCTGTGCCTTTATTCCGGGTAATTTTCTAAACGGCTGGACCGATTTTGATAATATTGTACTATCAGGTAGCTGTCTATATAAGGAGTAACTTAGGCTATTTTTCCTCAGAAATTTTTTGTCCGGTCCGGGAACCGAACCCACTAAGGCAGCGCTTTTCAAATTCTACGCGTACGATATCGCGGGTACCAGCTAGTCTATAAGTATATTTAAAAATGTTAGGTTGGTTTGTGTACGCTTCAAAAACTCGAAAAGTTGTGCATAGAATGAGTTCTACTTTTGACACGATATACAACCCCCTTCAAAGATTGTTTTTATATGTTTTTCGCGTCAGTTTTGTTCGTCATTTTTCCTCAATGGAACAACAATGTTCCGCAGCAAAGAGTGGCAGGGTAGGTACAGCTGGTCAATTCACACACGATACCACGTTTACCACGTATGCACGATACCTTCAAATAACCGTGTGAACATGAAAAAACCTATTCTTTTGACATTACAAACAGACACTTCAATTTTTTTTATTTGTCTAGATAAGTAAGCAGTATATATTGGCCTGTGGGACCGTCACCAGACCAACAGACCAGCCATTTCCTTATTGACCGATTTATTGCGACCAACCAATGTTTTAATAACCCTATAGTAAAGGGAACCAAAGATTCTTGCGGAACATCAGTTTCAACAACTATTAACAAACAGAGTACCACGTGATCTCCGTGACTGACCGTTGCAAAACCAACCATTGTCCACTCCCATCTTATTTCAAAACAATAAGGTTGATTATAGATTGACAAATTGTATTTAAAAACTATAACAAAGGTGGGTTTAGCTTCTTTGTTGATATACAATCTTCTTTCACGCTTCTGAAAGTGAATATTGTGTTATTTTTGAAAAGATTTTTATTCAATCTTGGATCGTGGTACGATGTGATATAATGGCCAGACTATTCCACAATCTTTCATTATTCTAAGTAACACGAAGATTCTTACAATTTATTATATTGTCCTAAATAAACCTCAAACAACAAAGCTATGTTTTATAATAGGATTTCTTTACTTTGGACTGTCGCTCACTATTTTCAATTTCAATAGAGATTTTGTTTGGTTATAAAGTACCTACTAACATTTACCGCGCGTAATTTGTTTTTAATTTTTTTCTGGATGAAGGTATCTTTTTCTGTACCAGTATTTCATGATCATCGGTCGAATAAAGATCTGAAAGTATATCAACCGAATTAAAATGATGAAAAAATTATATCACAACGAGTAACCAGAATATTTTACCAAAAATAATTTGATAAAGTACCGCATACGCTCAAAAACTGCAATGTAAGGAATCAGACAGCCGAAGCGGGCGGAGCCTCCTCCTCGGGCGCCAACTTGTGTTAGTTTGTGTAGACTGTTTGCACGGAATACACGTGTAGTGCTGTACCTACTTTGGTGCTATACTTACGGGGAATGACCTTCATCTTTGACAGCTGATTGCATAAAAAGTTTAATTTCCGACAGAAAATTCCAAGGATTTTCGACTCAGAATGATGGTCTGAATACACTATTTCAGTATTCGTTACGACGTCCCTTACACCCTGTATAGTTTACGCACTATTGCGATCTCTGGTTCTAATTCAAGCGATTCAGGGTTTACTTTTAGCATAGGTCATTATAGGCGAATTGTTCACGTCTGTGATCATGAGTCCTTTCGATCGGCGTCAACTTCTTCCAATGCTATTGTACGTATGAACTACACTGAACAAGTAAAGAATTCTGGTTGCGTTCATACAAATAATAGTATGTAGTTGTAGTTTGGTCCATCAATAGTCTTTTCCGGAATGGAGATTCACGGATAATGGAAAGACATCGTATGACGAAAGTCTAGTGCGTAAGTTACCATAGGAATAGCGAATACTCCGGACCGGGAATTCCGGGATCCCGGAACCGAATTTTCCGGGAATTGGATCGGGTTCTGATCGGACGTCTCTAAGTCGAACTGGCTGTTATTGGTAACTCTTCTAACAATTGACTGCACGGATGGCGTAGTGGTTTAAGCGGTCGCCGCTTCCTACTACGCCGAGTGTTGTGGGTTCAAACAGGCTTCAGGCTTCCTACAGCGTTGAGTATTGTGGAGTCCCCACATGAGACGACACTGTATGTGATCCACAAATTGTTATTTTCAGTGTGGGTGTTCTTTGTGTCAGTTTTATGTATGTTTGTAAAGTAAAAGCCGACATAGGATATATTATTAATTAAAATTTAAAAAAAAGAATTTCACAGTACATATCACATCATGTAATGGTTCTCGAACTTAAGACTTCGTCATTGTATCAAGCATCATCAACAACCTTTAGTAGCCCACTACTGGACATAGGTCGATACGATATGGTTAAGACTCTTATCCTGAACATAAAATCATAACATGAAGATTAATTTTATTTTTTAGCTTGTACATATTTGAGTTAGTATTCAAAGTTTTCGTTGTCTCCCGTGTATACGAGTTTTTTGTTGTGTCACCTCGGCTCAGAAAACGTGGTTCGTTATAGATATTGTAATCAGTAAAAGTCGAAATATTGAGATCATGGTACTGATATTTTTTTTGCATAAAAACTATAAGTTTAATGCCTTGAATAGAACTTTTTTTTAATGAAAGTGCATATTGATAGTTTGAAGTTGTGGTCATTTGTATGTAAAACATCTTAGGGTATAAAGACATAGGTACCTATGTTATAAAACTGAATTCTCAGTCCCATAGGTCTCTCTAATCATGGGATAGACTTACAGGAATGGGACAACGATCTTGTCCAGGTCCTAAGTCTAGTCTACTCAGTCTCAGTCTCTACTAGGAACTTCTACCTCACGGACTCCACAGCTGAAGGAGCACAGCGCTGAACCAGTCAGCCTGTGACCACGGCCAGGGCAACCTGAGCGACTAGTGCAAGTTTATTTCACATCGACTCGCTATCGACAGCGACTTGATGAAGATTTTAGTTGTAGTGCGGGCCGATTGACGATCGAGTATATCTGAAATAAACGAACCAAATAAACGAAAATCGAAACGTCAGGCAATTCAAAGGTGTGTATTTAATACCTATCGTGATCGCGTTAGGTAATTTCCGTAAACATAACTACATATTCCATTGCCATTAACTTCTAGTATATAAAGCCATCCTCAAACCTGTGTGGACGTACGGCATACAACTATGGGGTACAGCCTCACACTCCAACATAGAGATCTTACAACGTTTTCAAAACAAAATGCTGCGCATAGTTACTGGTGCCCCATGGTTTGTGACTAACGAACAACTGCACAACGATC